GCTGACGATAAACATCCATACTGGCCAGTGTACTAGCAGGTCGAGTTTTACCACTGCCTTTTCTTGCACACAGCGGCGTGAGATCGCGAGTGGAGCTTTTGTGGGCCCAGCATAAACTGAGTGCAAATTTTCCACCTTCTCGGGTTTACAAAAATGTCTCATTGTTGTCATCTTGCCAATGGGAAGGGCTCCACCAAATTGTAGCCCCTGGGTTGAAAAAGTAGCATTGCCACGAGATGGCCAGTATGTGGATCATTTTTGGGCTGAAAAAACCCTGCTCAAGAAGTATTACCTCGTGACGCAAAAATGAGACTTGTCCTATCTTAGCCCATCGTTTGATAATTTTTTCGAATAGCTTGACGTTTAAACCCCTCCTCAGGGTTTGGGTGCGTAGCGTTTCTCTTCCTGGGGTCAGAGACGCCGTTCATTCGCTCGGAGCAAGCTTAGGACTAAGCCTAGGCCCAATCATAGGCTTAGGCATAAGCCAATGTGTAAGCATCTAAACCCAAACTTAACCTTAAGCTTCAATGATCGCGCAACTGTGGTGACCTGACCCCAGGAGGAGAAACGCACGTCTCCCCCTGAGGAGGCTAACATTGCTTCAAAGTCAGGCAGATTTTTCTGCTCGCAGGTAAGTAGCAAGGGCAGTCTAGCTGGCCGCGCACTCTCGGCTCTGCATAAAATTGTGTGGCGGTGAGGTGATATCTCCTGCTTTCCCCCTTTCTTGTCTCTTCGCCGTCTGACCTCTCAAGCAAGCGAAGGCACTCTGCATTGTAAACTCCCATAATGCTCAACTTCGGAAGGGTGAGGCGTGTCCAGAAGCTTTTGTCAGCTTCTTTTTTTGCTTAGCTTTTGCTTTTTTTCTTTCCTCACACCAGGGGAGCATGATCATGTCCAGGTTCAGATTGGGACTCCACTACATCCGGCGATCTTGGAGTATACCTTCTATGTTAGTCAACCCTTTTTTCTCCTTCAGAAAATGGTGCGGCAATGAGTGTCCCCAGCGACTTGGAATGCCTGATTGAGCTGGGCGGAATTCAATTTTATTCAACAAAAAACAGGTTAGCCGGGTGTTTAGGGTAGGCGAAACCCCACGGCTAATTTTGATTACTACTTCAGTTATCCCATCAGACGGATGGATTTCATGATCACCAATAGAATTATGAGATTCTAACATTTCGCATTTCCATGTTGACCCTTGTCGAAGAATCGGATTGCGTGTGTCGATTTGTTTGTGTGTCTATGAAATGACCTTGCAAAGCAAGCAGACCATCTGAAGACCTTCAGGGAAGCAGGAGCAGGTCGGACCATTAAGGACACAGAAGGAAGAGAGGAGATTTTGAATTAAATCTGATTTTCGAAGAGAAACAAACTTACGGAAAACCACACGAATAATAGTGGAAATAAGGAACACATAGTAGAAGTGCACCTTGGGAGGCCACATATCGGCGAGACATTAAAGTTCTGTTAGCGCTCGATTGGAGAAATCAACCAAACACGAATTCGAAATTAAGAAAAGTAAAACCAGAGAATGTTCTGTTATCGGTAAACAAGTTGTAAAAAAGTTTCTTTTAACCGCGATTTGGCTCGCAGTCTCCTGCATGTTTGCACAAGAATAACTGGTTGCTGCAACAAACTTCGCCTCGGACGGGACCGAACCCACACGTCTGCTTACCGGTAGTGCGATACAAATTATTACGCTTACTGGGCACATTTCATTCAACATCACTCAGACCGAATACTCAGCTGAGTTCTAAGCAAGAGGTGCGGGTTCGAGTCCCGTTTGGGGCGAAAGTTTTGTTCGCAACCCAGTATTCTTGTGAATCTAAAAAGTGTTCCTAGTGAAGGCAATCGAAGAACCAAGTGAAATCGTTCCCGTCGCAACATTTGTGACAGATGTACGGCGGGAATTTGAACGCGTAGCAGTCCTTCCGGTTTTTCGAAGTTTACCAAAACAAATGCAATTTTTTGTTCTTTTCGTTCTTATCGTGAATGATGGTCTCAAGCCAGTGATCTTATGGTTGAGATAGGATCATGACTCTTTTCTGGACGATTCCTTAATTTTTACTTGTTTCCGCCCATATAAGCCATCCTCGTTTATTTCCTTCGCCGGTTTGCTAATCACTATCCAACTTTCCCTTTTTCTACCCATTCTATCTTTTCCGCAGTTTTTTTTTATCCCCGCTACTGCCATTATCCAGCTTACCCGTGCGTCTGCTCATGATGCATAGGAAATATTCTTTTGAGCGAATGAGAATAATCTAGTAGGAAGAGAGAAGAGTTCTCATGAGGATCTCAAAAGGGGTTCTCCGGTGGAAAGCACGACATATTGATCGGGCAATTCGCGTTTTCAATGTGAACTTTTTGATTTTCGTTTTCAATAAGCAATTTTTTTTCGGTGGCATGTTGGCATTACTAAGTGGAAAATAAAATAAAGTTGACTGTTTATGTATCCAACGTACAGAGAAAGGGGGAGAGGTGGAAAAAAGGAGTCACCTCGCCAACGACGCAGTCATCAAAGTTTTTCTCGGCACACTATTCCGCTGTGTGTAAAAGTTTCAGGGCAAAATATTCCTATATGTTCTCCTTCAAGACAAGCAGGCTTTTTTTGCTGCCCTCACCGTCTTCAGGATATGACGTCGTCTGTGTCAAGCTCGAAGGGGCCTACCGTCATTGCGTTCAGTCTGTTACATGATTTTTTCAACCGATGGATAGGTATGTAGACTATCTCCTGTGCAAGATCTTCCGACAAGCTTTGCAGATATTGCCCTAATGGTATACTATCTCGAGGTCCTCTTTGAGCTTGAACCCCGCGTCATGTTCGCGTGGGAAAATCTTCCCATCTCGTGTGGGTAGAACGCTATTGAGAAGTTTTTTGATAGATTGGAATATGCTTTTTAATTTTCAGTCAGAATAATTCGGTTTGAATTTAACAAAGCGTAAATGGTTCCGTTTTGAATATGCAGTGAAGTGACTTTTTTATTGTTTTTTTTTTATTGCACCCTACTCCCCCCCCCACCTCCACTGTAATGCTAGCGTAGTCTGACTCAGTGCTTCTCTCCTCTGGCATTCCTTCTCTGAGAACGGACTTGACAGGCTAAGATGTCGAACGGTTAGAAATCAGAGATTCGTATTATAATTGCGCGACTATAGTCTCACCACTAATTTGAAACTTAACAATACCGCGTCACTTTTACTGGTACAGGTAAAAGACAAGTTAGGACGCTATCGCAATGTCCGGAGCCATTATGGTAGCAGTGCCATTCAAAATGCTCTAAAACTTGCTGTTGTCGAACTAAAGCCTGGGAACAGGGAGAAAGAGGCTTCAGCAGTCAATGGCCATTTTGTGTCTATTGGAGTTCCTGCCTTCCTAGTCCTTGAAAAGATGCCTCCGTATCTTGTGAAGCGTCCAGTCGTGTATATTGTGATGGCGCCCAATGATGGTTAGAGATAGCTATGCAGAACCAAATTCATCCACTTCCAAAAAGAGTACTATAGTTGACACAAACTATTGCACCAAAATGCTACTCATTATTTAGGAAAATGCGTCAAGGGTACATATTTGACCTCCCTCCACCTCCCCCCCCTATGGAAACCTCGCAACAAAGTGCGCTCGCAAAAGAGCATTCCTTTGGTCATCATTTTGATCTCCTCCCTGATCAGTGTGATCATAGATCATTTTAAAAGAGCATGAGAGAACAGTCAACAGCTCAGGACGGTTTCTAGTTCTTATCTGGGAAACTGTGGTGGCGCCCCGCTAGGTGGAGACGGGGCTCCCCTGCTGACATTATGGTCCGATTCCGTGGTTATCTATTCGCTGACTCAGCCCGCCCTCTGAGTCTGGCCAGACCACTATAATAGCAGGTCAGCAGGGCTGTTCCCCGCCTGCCGCCGTGGCTCGCCCCGTCACCATCAATGCCTCTCGCGCCAGAGGGGCGTGGCCTGGGGCTGTCCTGGCCCCACCCCCTTCGGGGGTCCGCCGACTCAGTCGCTCTCCGTTCACGCCAGGCGGCTGGTGCTTTTTCTGGTTCTCTCGTCCAGCCGTGATCTCTCACTGCTGTCTGACCAGGCAGGAGAGCCTCTGCTTTCGATTCCTGAATATCTCCAAGTTCGACGGCGCGGGCCCTCACACGACATCCCACTGTTCTTCGTTTATGTGCGCCTGATCGATCTCTCACTTGTTGCTTGCTGCATCCATATGTGGTTGTTGTTTTTTCATCCGAACTCTCAGCCGTTTTATTATAGGCTTTGCCAGCTAGCAGCCGTCGCCGCAATGTCCGACGTCAGAGTGAAGTTCGACATCACGTCCTCTCCGGAGCCCGACGAAGAGGTTCGTCTCAGCTTACAATTCAAGTTTTTCATAGTCCCACTTAGCAAAGTGGTTTCATTACTCGTTTCTCGATTTTTTGTTATCCTTATGAATTTGTCGTCAAGGGGTTCGCTTAGCAACTGCTACATTTAATTCAGCTGCCGTTGTAGTAGAAATCTCAAGATGATATTACTGCTTGCGTAATCTTTTCGTTTTCCGTTTTCCTGGTCTTAGTAGTTCCCTCATGGTTTTTGGTTCCTATCGCCGCCCTAGATTCACCATTCTATCCAACGAATTCATTAGGTCACTACGGTCGATATTTAGCGCTTTCCCAATCAGTCGGTATTAAGTGAAATTTTTGAATTTTCAGTTGTATGAAATTCCGGGCCGAAAATATCTCACAGTCTTGCGGCCCGTTTCTCACAGCCGTATTGAATTTTAGAGCTGCCATAAATTTCCCTTTCTCTTTCTCAAATAAATGCGTCTTGCAAGGTTTCTATGAGGAAGAGTTTAAATTATTGAATGGTTGTATGAAGCTCATCAGTGAAACACGAGAGCATAGAGTGTTAGGGAAGATTGAGTTACGTCTCTGCAATACACGATAGAATTATTCTTCAAGTCTTTCCAAAGTCACCATTTTGCGCTCATACATTCTGCAAATTATATGCAAAATTTTGTTCAAGCAAAATTATATGTTAATATTACACAAGAAATGGATAGATTGAATCTTCGAAATTTTGCGCGACTCTCAAACAACTAGTTTCTAAGATGTTTAGTTCCTAGCGTGGATTAAACTGAAGGTGTGGCATGTATTAGAAATCAAGGTTGGTAAATGAATGACTCTTGGCGAGATTAAGAAATACGTGGCATGTCTGTTTGAAAACCGTCTCCATGTGATTTTCTAGCACTCACGCGACATTTTTCCCATGGAATGTTTTCTTATTTTCCCATGAGGCTCTCACTGAATGTCTCTCTCGAACTGAATGTTTTAATGCTTTAGCTGGTGTCATGTGGGATAATCAGTCAGTAATAAAATCCTGTGTTCCATCGCTTCTTGGGTCCAGTCAACCTTGGGGGCACTGCTGTAGATCACCTTTCGGAGCTGCGAACTCTTACTGACTTCAACTACTCCGATTATTGAAAAAGTAATATTCATGTAACTCAATACGCTTTGCACAAGCGGCTCCTTCCTTGCACTTCCTTAAATTCGTTGAGAAGGTTTCGGTTTGTAGCCGGCACAAACTATGTACCAAGAATGTCCCCTTATTGGAATAGACTCCACTTTTGAGAAAACATAAGCGATGTTTTACTGTTCCTGGCCGGGACTGGGAATAACAGGACACTGTTGAGGTGATCATGTAGGTGTGCGTGGCCAATGAGCGTTCTTTCCTCTCTACCCGGAGCCTTAGAATTATGCAATCACCGTTACGGGTCAAGGCCGAGAGAGCTAGGCCAGTGTTAGCCATTGATGTGCACAGCGTGGCATCACTGTCTGCTAAATGGTAAACAAAAGGACGACAGAATTCGTGTTGCACCTATTTAAACACAACTTTTTTCCAAGTGCTGTCAGATGTTCCAATGATAGAGTTAGTTTAGGGTTTGCACCTTCGTCATATGTTCTTAACCAAGTTGTTTTTTGCATAGATGAATTGTTAAAAAAAAACCACTAAACGTTCAACCGTGAAAAGAATACCATTAGATTAGAATTGTTTGCACATCCACGGTTTGAACTATTCACCCGAGAGTTCTAGGAAAAAATCGGCGTACCGAGATTGAATTAGTGTCGTTAGTGCCGCTCTGCTTCATGTACGTGAGTCCTTTGCCAGGGCCACATCTGCAATCTAACCCTCGCCATTCACACGCCCTTCGTTATCGCAGCAAAGCGAGGCCTCGCAATTTTCAAAGATTGCAATGCCATGTTAGATGTTCTTTTAGACAAACATCATTAGAAGAAATAACTTCCGTGTTCTGTTTATATTTTATTCTATTATACGTTTTTTGCAAAATTTTCGCATTTTAGGTATTCCTCCCTCCTGCCCCCCTCCTTGCTGGAGCGCACGTGTCCGGTCTTCAATCATACCGGGAGAAATATCGCTCCTCCATTAATGACTCCGACGCTTTCTGGAAGAGCGTCGCTGAAGAACTCCATTTCGCTGAAGGTTCCTCAAAGGTAATCCACTACGACGCGTATTTTTGGTTTCTTTATGTGATCATTTGAGTGGATCGTGCTTTCTTACATGCAAAAATTTACTCGAGCAAATTTAGGGACTAGAATGGAATTTCGACGCGAAAAAAGGCGACATCTTTTGCCGTTTTATGGATGGTGCGAAGACAAATATCTCCTACAACTGCCTTGAGCGGAATATAAAGCGTGGATTGGGGGATAAAGTAAGTCAAGCCATGGTTTTCACATAAGAAACTTCAATTTCATAACCTTTTAACAGGTTGCCTATATTTGGGAAGGAAACGAGCCTCTTGACAATTTCAAAATAACCTACAGTGAACTCCACGCCCAGGTGAGCGCACTTCTTATTCCTCTTCCTCCCACTTTTTTCTAGTCAAACATTTTAGGTGGTCAATTTCTCGGCCGTCCTGCGCGCTCATGGTGTCCGAAAAGGGGATGTCGTGGCCCTTTACTTGCCAATGATCACCGAATTGGCGGTCGCCATGTTGGCGTGCACCCGGATTGGTGAGTCGAAATGGAGTTGGCTTTCGAAACTGGGCTTGGATAGTACCTCTTTTTTTGCAGGAGCCATGCATTCTGTGGTTTTCGCCGGCTTCTCCGCTCCAGCCTTAGGATCTCGAATAATTGATGCAAAGTGAGGAGGCTACGATAAGTTTATTGCCTTCCACTAGCGGCGACTTTTAATTGTTCTGATATTTAGCTGTCGGGTCCTTGTCACTGCTGATGGGTTCTTCCGTGGAACTAAGCACGTGAATCTCAAGCGGATAGCTGACGACGCCGTCAAGATTGCTGCCGAAGGTGGTGTAGACGTGAATTCGGTCATTGTTGTCTCTCATCAGAAGCGAGTCACCGTTCCGAAGACGTGCAGCACTCCTGCGGTATGTTATTTGATACTCTTGACGAATTGCCTTTCGATTGCTCTCCATTTTGTCGCTGATTACATCCATTTATAATCTTCTTCCAGGATGCGCGAATGACTTCCATCGATTTCGATTATACGGTTGAAATGGCCAAGTATAAAGGAGTCGAATCCCCTGTGGAATGGATGGACGCCGAAAGTCCTCTGTTCTTGTTATACACGTCGTGAGTCCTTTAACATATAAATAATCAGGATATTTACAAAATCCATTCGTTCATCATGAGTATCAAAAGGTTCCTCCTCCTCATTTCCGGAAAGGAGTGCCTCAGTGTTTCTCCTTCGTAGTCCTAGACGGAGTGTTGATAGAGACAAAAGTTGAATGATTAGGTAATGGTAAATTGAATGATCTTAACGATCTATTCCTTCCCACTTCCATTTCGCTTTCTTTTTGTCGATCGTTTTCCATTTTATGTTCGCCGAGTTTTTCTCCAAGTTTTGCCTTATTGTTGCAAAAGCTATCAGTGGAGTCGCTTTCGGTGTTAATTTCTCTTGGTTTTTTTTTTGACCGGATCGTCTCATTGTCCTAACCATTCTCATTCCTACTACCACTAAGTGCTTCGATCGGGAAGGTGGGGTTGTCAAGCATTCCTTCGGTTTCCTTTCCAGTTGAAGCTGGTACAAAAATGCGTCCGAGGCCTGCCTAAGGTTTTTCTTTAGATATTAGGTAGTAGTTAGACAAGTGATCCCCATGTTTGTAAGGGTTCGAACGGGAAAACCGAAGAGGAAATCCCAACATTCTTCAGCCACGCTGGTTTATATGGTATGCCTAATTACACCATGAAAGACACCTTGACGCGCGACCCCACTACGAACGAGATGTCTATTGGTGCACCGCCGATTGTGGCTGGATTACTGGGCATACGTGAGTTTTTTGAAGGTTGCTCCATTCACAATACCAGCTCGTATTATCAGTCAGCATGTGCAGCCATAATTATTTATTGTTTAGGTACTTGCTGTATGGTCCATTGATGAATGGGCTCACTGGAGTCTGGTTTGAGGGAGTACCTAGTCATCCAGGCCCAGATAGGCTATGGGAGGTTACTGACAAATACAAGGTGAGCCTTTATCTTTAAACTCCATCGCCCTGAATAAGAATCATGTCAGTATTTTAGGTCAACAAGCTGTACACCTCACCTACCGCTATCCGAGCACTCATGGCTATGGGAGATGAACATGTTAAGAAGTACTGTTTGCTCTACATTACTCGAAGTCGTCATTTTAACCGTCTTTGTTAAGTTCAAAATGATATTTCAGGCATTCGCGTGCTTCGTTGGAAATTCTAGGAACTGTCGGTGAACCAATAAACCCTGCTGCGTGGAAGTGGTTGTACAACGTTGTTGGTGAAGGCAGATGTGCCATTGTGGATACCTTCTGGCAGACGGAAACGGTAAGAATAGGTTACTACGATAGTTGTCACCGAAGTCCATTGAACTGCAAATTGCGGATGTTTTCTAGGGTATTGTGACATCTAATCCTTTTGCTCCTCTGCGTCTCCTTCACAAGGCCAGACACCAGACACTAAGGCCCAAACTTTTGCCACAGGTTAAGTGGCTCACACACCCCCCCCCCCCCAATTGGCCCCATTCCCCCTGGCTCACGCATTCTTACTTACTACCAGGTTCCCGCCACACCAAAAGGATTAGATGTCATACAACGTTTTCTAGCCGCTTTTGGGAGCCTACCAATTTTCCACGCTATCTGCTACTCAGAAAAAGGCGCTTGATGTCTTAGGGATAAAATGTTGATACTTGCAGGGCGGACATATGATCACACCCATGCCAGGTGCGACTCCAATGAAGCCTGGATCAGCTACATATCCTTTCTTTGGAGTCAACCCTGTTCTCCTTGATGCTGAAGGTCGTGTGATTGAGGGACCTGGTGAAGGAAATCTCTGCTTCGATCGCGCATGGCCTGGAATGTTGCGCACTGTGTTCGGTGATCACGATAGGTTTGTGCTAGTTTAACATTTCTGGATATGGTTCGATCAAAATTTTCCCTCAATACTTTTATGCTTATAGATTCGTAAAAACGTATTTCGCACCATTCAATGGCTACTATTTCACCGGTGACGGCGCGCGTCGTGACGAAGATGGCTATCTGTGGATAACGGGTCGTGTTGATGACTTAATGAATGTGTCAGGTCATCTGTTGTCGACGGCAGAAATCGAAAGCGCGCTCGTGGCGCATAACAAGGTGTGTCCTCAAAAGGTCTACTCTTGTTTGCTCACCTTAAATTTTGTCTTTAAGGTTGCGGAAGCTGCTGTCGTGGCTGCTCCTCATGACATCAAAGGCTCATTCCCTTACGCCTTTGTGACTCTGAACAACGGAGAGAAAATGAACGCAGCTCTTGTGCAGGAGCTTAAGAACATGGTTCGTCTAAGAATTGGGGCCATAGCAGTTCCAGAAGTAATTCAGTCAGCCCCCGGTCTTCCAAAGACCCGTTCCGGAAAGGTGACTCGTCGTATCCTGCGCAAAATTGCCGAAGGTTCCGAGTCCGGGATGGGAGACATCACCACTCTAGTCGATGAAGATGTGATCAAACACCTTATTGCTGGTCGTGTCAATGGCTAATTGCGGTAGTTGCTTAGCTGTTAAATAGATAGTAGTCTTGTCATTTTAATACTAACCATGTGATTGACATTACAAAATCATTATATTTATCATTTACACCACTCATTCCGATTTTGTTCTCCAAACTAGTGTTAACCTCGTAAGTTTGACCGAAACTGCATGATGCCCACTAAAGTCGTAACTGTTATGTACTGTTTTTGTGTAAATATAATTTATTCTCGAAAGGGCTACTAGTTCTGTAGTGATTCGATAATCACCTTGCTGTAAAATGACTGTTATTTGTTTCTCGGTTGAAACCCATGTTAGGTTTTGTATGTGCATTAGATGTGGAACCAAATTAATTGAATTTGTCGTGAATAAATCGTGACATTACGGACTTTTATAATTCATTTGAAAAATGACTGGTCTCACTACAGGAAGCAGAACTTGCTCTCAAACGGAACATGGAGGGGCAGGCGGCTGACAGAACATCAAGATGTGAAAAGCTTTGATGTGCTACATGAATTTTTTGTTTGGAACAAATAGGCGCTATCAGAATTCGTTTTCTGGACAGAAAAGAACGAGCGTCATATTTGGGAACATGATAATTTCCGACCTTGTGACAGTAAAATCTGCCGCTATAATGAAAGTTTTCGAAAAAATCGCAAGTAGTTTGATTTGAACGAGCCGTAAAAGTTTGAAAAATCAGGAGTTGTTCTTGGGAAGCACCTTTCAGAGTCTCATTAAGGAAATCCTCATCCGCGAGCTAGGTTGTTTGCCACTGAAGTAGTGCTACTTTCGCGGCTCAAACCGCCTAAAAATGGTACAATCGTTTGAGGAGTCGCATCAATCCACACCCTCTCCATCAGTGCCCACCCACCTTTGCGGTATCTGCTTCTCACTCTGCTGCTGTGCTCTCTCGTCTTTGAATCGCTCTCGTTTCCTCCTACCATCACACCCTCCAGGCTTCCTAAACCGCAGAAAACAAGAGACCCTTATATTCAGTGCTCTCGACAGTTTCTCTTTTATTATTTCGTCACTAGCGACTCACCATGCGATTCTTCTTTCATTTTCAAAGGCAATAACAATGATTAACTGATCTCGTAATGTACCCTCGAAAAATATTGCCATGAACATTAGCTCCAACTCATCCACCCATGTGGGTGAAGCTCAGAGATAGCAATGTTTTACCGAAAATGTCATAATCAGAGGAGGGAAACGTTCGTTACAGGCTTATCCTGCACAAACAATCCCTCATGATGAAGCCGAATTTTCGCGTTTTACTTTGTTCTCATGAAGTTTCTTTCTATCTTAGCTCAATGATCGCGAATCTTGTCTGGTGGCGAGAAAAAATGGGCTAACTGAACGAAATAACTTAGTCCGTTTGAGAAAGGGTGAACATACTACACCACATTTTTCATATGGTTAGCATTAAAATCCTATCTCTCTTTCTTTTTCAAGCGATCTTTTTAAAGGAAAAAAAACTAAAACTAAAAAACTAAAAAAAAACTAGTTTTGATCCCCAAAAGCCATTTCTTTTATTTGTTCTCGAGCAGCGCGAGAATCTTATGCAAAGCTCTATTTCGCTTTTCAACGCAGAAGTTTTGTGCTGCCATAAAAGGCGGAGTTCACGATAAAAAGGTGGCCCATTAAAATCAAGGTAGAGGTGGTCAGTGGTGCAGGGATGAAGAAAAAACCATGAGAAACGGCCCAGAACCCGAGAAATGGGACCCCTTCCTTGCCCGTTGATTTCCGCATTGATGCGACTCTCATCGGTGCTGCCCTCTTCAACGCTAACGCTCTCTCTGCTAAACGGCTAGAGTCAGACGGCGAGAGGATGGGCGTGCTACGGCGTGAGCGGCGTGGGTATGGCCCTCATAGGCCGGTGGGAGCATACAATTACTGCAAAACGCGCACAGCAAACCGGAATCCCTACCATTTATTCTCTTGAGTTCATACAGTACTCATTTCATTTCAAAAAAATTACTGCTCCTCATCGTATCGGGTATTTTCTGAAAGTTGACCTTAACCTGGTCGACGGACTACTTGAACTCAGCCCTTTAAACCGCCTCTGCGCTCTCTCGCGGGTCCCTCTCCTCTCCAAGGCTTAGTCCTAGGGCATTCTCTAATCGTCTGTGCTCTAGCCATCGGCAGGACCATTGAGGAAAAATCAGTAGTCCGTAAACTCCTAAAACTCATTTGATAAATGGGTTCTGTCCTACTAAGGAGTCAATAAAAATGCTTCGTGATTAGCTGATAGCCATATGTGTCAGCCCTGTCGGGAGAACAATTAATCAGAGATCGTATCGGCGGCTTTCGTCGTTATTAAGACCACACACCACCTGTCATTCAAGGGATCTTTGTTCGGGGAAGCAACATATCTCTGGGATTTTCATCGGGAGATTTTTAAAAGCAAACAGGCTTATGAGCATTTGCTTGACTTCATTCCATGTTAAAATTACGCGATATCCTAACAACTGAGGTTGTCATGGTAAGCTTTTTTTCTACTCGGTGTTGCTAATTATGGTCTGGAAACATAAGTGGAATCATTAACAACCGATGTACAGGGGTGAGGGCGGGAGAGGGGCCAGAAAAAGACATTTTGCCCATCCCGCAACCATCGATTCAGCGATTTTTTCGTCGCAAGGCTGCC